GGAGCTACATGGGGGCTGAAAAGCAGCAATCGACGGGGAATTCTTCCCAAGTGGGCTTCCCTGCTACTTCTTCCACCTTAACTGTTTCTGGGGAGCCATCTATTGCCACAACCCAGGGAGTTAGTGATTATGCACCTGTTATCTCGGAGAAAGGGAGCCAAGTGAGCATTGATAACGGAGAATCGAATCAACCACTAGACGAGGAGGCTGCCGTTCAGCTGACAAGAACAAATTCTTACATACCACCGGTTGTTGTGCCCAGAGGCAGACGGCGAGGTTTATTTGGGTCACTGACTCTACTGGCTGAGGTTGAAAATCCAAAACATTACAACCGGAAATCAAAATGGTTTATTACTTTCGTTGTTGCTGTGGCAGCTGCCGCCGCGCCCATGGGAAGTGCTATATTTCTTCGTATGTTATTGTCACTCCTTTCAGCTCATAGAATCTCTATATTTTTCTGACAGGAACTAATATAAAGATCGTTTTAACAGCTGGACTTGGCGAAGTTGCTAGAACATATAATACGACAGCAACGGTTACTAATCTTTCCGTTGCTTTGTACATGCTGAGTATATCCATATTTCCTCTCTGGTGGTCATCGTTTAGTGAGCGGCTGGGGCGCCGTTCAATATACCTTGCTTCATTCGCCTTATTCACTCTATGGAGTATTCTATCCGCTCTCTCGGTCTCCATTACGATGTTGATCATCATGCGAGTCCTTGCTGGGGGAGCTGCTGCGTCAGTTCAAGCAGTAGGGGCTGGTACAATTGCCGATGTTTGGGATCCTATTGATCGTGGACGCGCTATGGGCATCTTCTACCTTGGTCCTCTCTGTGGTCCTCTTATAGCCCCTATCCTCGGTGGGATTTTGACACAATCTTTGGGATGGAGGAGTACGCAATGGTTCCTTGCAATCTATGGTGGCCTTATATTGGTCTTCATACTGTTTGCATTGCCAGAAACTCTCGCACACCGTAAACCTCTTCCGCCTCCTCAACCAGAGAATGGAAGCCCAGAGATCGAACGCACTCTGAGTCGAGTGTCATCTCGACAGGTCGTACAGCAAACGACCAGGGCTTTAAACATGTTCAAAATCATCATCATTGATCCTCTAAAGATAATTCTTTATATTCGTTTCCCGGCTGTTGCTCTAACTGTGTACTATGCAAGTATCGCTTTTGGATGCTTGTATGTTATGAACATAAGTATAGAGATTACGTTCAGCAGAGACCCCTATAATTTTTCTACTATCATTATTGGCTTACTATATATCCCTGGGGCGTTGGGTTATATTGTTGCCAGTGTTTTTGGAGGTCCTTGGATGGATTCCATCATGAAAAGAGAAGCAAGGCGTGCCAATAGAGTGGATGCAAATGGTAAATATATATTTATACCCGAAGATAGAATGTGTGAGAATGCATGGGTGGGGGCACTTCTTTTCCCATCTGCATTGATATGGTATGCTTGGACAGCAGAAAATGGGGTACACTGGTTCGCTACGGTGAGTTTCAGGCAAAACTATACACAATAATATCATCTGACTTGGTTTGGGTATAGATTGCTGCCAATTTCTTTTTTGGCCTGGGATCAATGTTAATTTTCAGCATGTCAACGACTATGTTGACCGAATTTATGCCTAATCGGTCTTCAGCAGGTGTCGCCCTGAATAATTTCATGAGAAACATAGCTTCTTGTGTTGGGGGTGTAGTTGCTGCTCCTATTATAGATGCTATTGGAAATGGATGGCTATTTACAATTCTTGGCCTTATTTGTCTTGCCAGCTCTGTTGTGATCTGGGCCATGAAGCGGTTAGGGCCACGATGGAGAATAACAATGGAGGAACAGTTAAAGAAGGAAAATGAAAATCGAAGGTGAACCTATTGAAGTAAACGTCGTGTTCGGGTACTTTTTACATGGTTTCAGGTATGCAGTTTCTAATCTTTTTTTTTTTTTTTTTTGCTTTGGAAACTGCTGGACCGTGGTACATTTTCGCAGTTCGGATCCAACATATACTGACCCAAACTATAGTTATAACAATGAAAGATAACTCACATACCTTGATTATATTACTTCCTAAGTATGCTAGGGACTGCATAAAGAGTGAGCAGATAAATTTACCAAGTCCTTGGCATACGCTCCATACGTTGGGCAGAACTACACTGCCGTTCCAACTTGAATGCGTGTTGCGCTGAATCTCGCGAATATTCTGTTTGGTTTCAATTTCATGCGAACATATCGTGGCTCACCTTGCTGAAGTCATAACTCCCGACTTGACAAGGTACTTAACAACACATTTCGAAACACATATGCCACTTTACTTGTATTTTGCTGTATACGTGGCTCTTTAAGGCGCCGGCTATGTATATGTTTTTGTCTGCATTTTCAGCTTGGGCAGGAACTCCCGAGACAGACCGGAGCTCTTCTTGCCATGGCAAGAAGAGGCAGGCAAGGAACTGCTGGATTGCTACGTTGACGTTACCAGAGGCTTTGTAAATACGTATAGGTTTATTTGTACAAATATTGAACAGATTTGTGAATGGAGCCAACTCCTCCAACGATTCAAAAGTTTAAGATATTTGTTTGGTTTTATGGAATCCATACCAGGCCACGAAGGTGACGAGACTCGGATATCGACCCCGCTGGCTAATTAAATTGTTTCCGTGCAGCCATTGGAGCAAGACAACATATGTCCTTTATACGAAGATTGCGGGACATCAAGTAGTTGCACACTTCCCCTACTTCATGTCAGCAAATGCTGGCCTTAGCCTTCCCTGTGACGCATTACACCCTGGATAGCGGGGTCAATACTTTCTCCCCGCTTGAGAGGCCATGTTGAGCAGGGGTTTAAAATCAGTTAACCGCAGGATGCGACACGTACACTGTACATCGGGGGTATACCATGGACTCGATAATGGAGGGGTCCTAAGAGGAAAGGAGAGAGGTTACACCACCACTGCAAGAAGCGGAGGAAAATATACACCATTGTAATACTCGGATACTCTGTATTTGGCATGCTGATCCCGAAGACAGTCGAAATTTGTTTTGCACCGACTGTTTCCTGGAGGAGGCAAAAAATTGAACGGACGATAATGTGATGAAGTAATTTCTCGTTTAATCCAGCCAACAACCGGAACCAACTTGTCAGGCTCCACTACCACCGAAAATATAGAGGGAGAAAGAAATATCATAAAGAGATGCAGGAGAAGATGGGCATATGCGTCCTGAATGGAATAAAATTCATGTCCAAGCAGGCGCACCTGACCATTACTTGGCAGGTACGTCCTTTCTGCCACCTTGCATCCGGATTGCAGCTGCTGGGCACGCGGAAGTCATGCAGAGAGGCAAAAGATGTATTCCGGTTCCTGATGCCAGCGTGGGCAACAGCGGCCATCACGCAAAGTCACTCTTTGCAGGGCTGGCTTCCTGACTCTTTATCATCTTGCAAGACCAGGTATCTCCTATCTCCTGTCAGCCACCAAATCTGATAGCAAGTTGACGTTTTAAAGTTACCAGCTGCGTGGGCAACCCTTGAACATGTGAGGCAGCCAATCAGACCGCAGCCTTGAATTTTCCAGCCAATGAAACCCTCTATATTGCTGAGTCATTAGGGCTAAAGTCGGGCCGATCCGCGACTAGTCCTAAACGGGACTTTCTGGCTTGCTTATTTCATCCTCGCCTCGTTGAAAGACGGCGAAAAAGAAATGTTTTGGTATCTGGCCCTTCTTCCCTGCTCAACCTGCTTGTCGAAGTGAAGCTCGTTCTGGAACCGTCGCTTTTTCTGGAGTCAGGCTTCGGCTTCATCTGCATCAGACCCAATGAATGAGAAACAGCACGAAACAGGACAACAGAGAATCTCGTGTTGGCCGCGACCACTTGCTACAGTTCACGTTGCAGGTTCATCATCTCTGGCCCAGCCACGACTTTCTTCTGGAGCGTACTCCGTACGGAGGAGGATCCCCAAGCAAGGGAATACGGTTACCCAAACGGTTAGAAAACCTTGGTAGATCGCGAGGATCTGAGACCGTCTGGTCCTTGACCAACCGCCTGCCTCAGGCGTGCTCCACAGTCCTGCAAGTGCCTGTCGGCCAGGCGGCCAATTGCGGGATATTGGGCAGAAAATGATGCTATCCCCGGAATCGCTTCCGGGTCACTGACTGGAAGAGATCTGACTTCCACACCTCTTCTTCGTCTCATCGGTAACGAGGGAGATTTTCTTGCAAGTTGCTGCAATTGGGTTGGTTTTGTTGATTTCGACCTTTTCCGCCGCTGTTTTACCCTCTGACCCGCTCAAGTGCATGGCCTGTCTGCCTCATCCCTTGAACGAAAGAGTAAGGTGGCTCTTCCCTTCATGATACAGCGTTTGCCTTGTATTCCTTGTCACGTTTTCATATTATTAACTTGCTGTTTTACGATTTATAGTATCGTGCAGCGGGTTACCCTGGTTTCCCTCCCACAGCGGCCGCTTTCCACAAGCCTTAGTAGGGCGTGCATCCAATGCTGTCTGCACTCCTATTCTGAAAACCCATGGGGCCGCGAGACGTGGCCCCAATGGCACTTGGTCTTGCATAGCTGCTTCGGAGAGCCCATTTACTGGGAAACTATCGTTTCTAATTCTCAATAATGACTGTTGATTACATGGCTCCATCAATGCCGATTGCTCTTGATAGGCCTAAACGACATATGAGGTTATCGGGCACATGCTTTCCTGTATCATAGGAGCTAGTATTACTTGTTATAATTTGTCTCGTCCGACGTGCTGCTATTTCGCTCAACCACGCCTTCATTTTATCCCCCCTCTTCCAATCTTACCCCAATATTCCTCAACCTCACCTTACATCCCGGGCCGCAGGTCGCCTTCCTGACGGACGCCAATCTATCCCCGAACTGCCGAGGCCTGCCACACCAAATAGACCTCTCATATCATTGCTCCTGTGTCTCCGTCTCCCCAACCTTTCTCTACTCTTCACATCCCCGCAAAAGCGTCGCAGATATTCCTGACCATGGCCAAAAAGAGGAAGGGAAAGAAGGGAGCTACCAATCGACTGCCGGCCAATTCAGTGGTGCCCGACATTGACAACGGGAGTAGCAGCAACCTACCTAGAGGTGACGGTTCGTCTGCACTCCCCGAAAATGTCGAACCTAAGCTATCAGTATGCTTCACTTCCTCAGTTTAAATATCAAACATATGATTGGCACACTGGTCAATTTAAAGACTGCCCTATATCATCGTTATATTCTTCCCCACCATCAGATGACGGTAATGGTGAACCTACCGCTGACGCAGAACCAAAAAAGGACGTCCCCTTGGACCAACAACCACAAGATGCACCAGCGGCTGATGTTGATGCTGGAAAAGATGCTCCTGGAACATCCCCAGGTAAGTTGTCTATCCGGTTGGTAGCGGAAGTATACCTTGTCCACTACCACCTAGAGTACCGCAGGGGCCTCATATACTTACCATCCCATAGGTATAACGGAAAATGAGACTTCCGAGGAGACCCAAAAGACAGCAGAGGAGGAAAAACCAAACGAAGGAACGCCGTCTACAGAAGACAGGCCGGGGGAAGAGACGGCAAAAGAAGCTCCAGCTACGGAAGATCCTCCTTCTGAAGGAGCTCCTGTTGAAGAAAATGCTGTTCTGGAAGAGGCCCCGGTAAAAGAGGAGCCAGCAACAGAAGCTCCAGCTACGGAAAATCCTCCTTCTGAAGAAACTTCTACCGAAGAAAAGGCTATTCCAGAAGAGGCCCCAGCAAAAGAAGAACCAACAACAGAAGCTCCAGCTGCAGAAAATCCTCCTTCTGAAGAAGTTCTCTCCGAAGAAAAACCGGCTGCGGAAGAGACTGCGGTGGAACAGGAGCCGGTAATAGAAACACCGGCTTCAGAAGGTCCGTCTGCTAAAGAAGCCCCAGCCCCCGAAGAAAACACACCTGCAGAAGCGGCCCCAGCTGAAGAAAACTCAGTTTCAGGAGAGACCCAAACAGAACAAGAGCCACCAGCAAAAGTGCCAGCTGTGGAAGAGTCACCTGCTGAAGAAACATCTGCTCCGGGAGAATTACCTGCTGAGGAGACCCCGATCGACGAAGCTCCAGCCGCGGAAGAGACTCCAACTGCGGATGAGGTTGAGAAGGAGCCTGCAGAAGAGGCACTGACAAAAGAGATAAGCACAGAAGAGGACCCCACAGAGAAGCCAGCAGCTGCAGAAGAACCATCTGTTGAAGAAACATGCCCCGAAGAGGCTCCTGTCGGAAAAGAGTCTCCTGTAGAAGAATCTCCGGCGAAAGAAGTTCCAACTGAAACATCAACTGCAGAGGCATCTTCAGCTGTGGAAGAACCCCCTGCTGAAGAGGCTCCCACCGGAGGAGCACCTTCAGAAGAGACAGCTATGGAAGAAACACCCGTCGAAGGGACGCCGGCTCCTGAAGAAGCGCAGCCCCGAGAAGAATCACCTGTGGAAAAGACTGCCAGTGAGGAAGCAGCACCTCCAGAAGAACCTCCGGCTGCAGAAGAGTCACCTACCAAAGAAGATCAGGCTCCAAAAGAAGTCCCAGCTACTGAAGAACCTTCAGCTGGAAAGGAGAATCCGGCTGAGGAAGGGCCGGCGCCTGAACTGTCAGAAGAGGGAGAGAAACTAGTTGAAGTAACACCAGAGGTGCCAATTGAAGGAGAAGCAGCTGATACTGACAAAGTAGGTATTGAGGAAGAAAACAAGGGAACGGCCGAAGGAGGGAAAAACGACACAGCGGACGCAGCACCTGATACACGTAATGTCAAAGAGGGCGAAAATGCACCCGATATTGATGTGCCCAAACCGTCAAACGACCATGCCGAAGTAACTACTGAAGAAAAGGAAGAAACAAGCGTCGCAGAACCGGTGTCTATCGAAGTTACAAAAGATGTTCCCCTGGAAAACGCTACCCTTGGGATTCCGGCTGAAGAATCTACTGTACAACAACCTACAGGTGAAGAACCCGTTGCTGAAGAACCTGTTGTTGAAAAG